TCTTTACCATGTCCCTCAAGGTTAAACATTAAACATTATCATTTTGTAGATATACTTTTTTAACCAAAATTTATTCTCCTGCACAATAATTCTGCTCTTTAAAAATGTGAGCCTTAAAATTAATTAGAATGACTCTATTCAGCATTGTTAGATATGTTTACTTTTTGTTTCCACGTAAATATCAGGTGTTTTAATAGACTTTAGATTAACTTAATTGGGTTTCCTGCTAGTTTCCTTTTATCACCATATTGTTTTTTCAAGTCTTTCTCTGTACCATTAAAAATCCGAGCAAAATTACAGTTAATGCTAAAAAAGGCGAGCAATCTACAAAAAAAGATCATAAATACTAATCTACTACTTAAAAAAATTACAGTAATTTGTACAAAAGCTGCACAGCTTAAAATGACCAACAGAAACTAGATGATGGTTCTACAACAGAGGAGCTTCCTTTGTCTCCCATTTTACTTTTATAAACTCTAGGAACCACAAGAAACCTACGTTCTGGATATGAAGTGCTCTAAATAATGGATCAAAAAGATCTTTAATATAAAATAGAGCCTGGTTGAGATCTTCTCTCTGGGTAAATTAGTGTCCAAAAAGAGGCATGTTTTGGATCCAGCCTGCAGTTCTTAGGGACACCTGCTTTCAAAGGCTGATCTGATTCAGAGCAGCAGTTTGTTTCTTATTGGCTTGTATGATTTCATCATGTGGTCTTGGTGTTCAAACAGAATATAATTTGCTGACTTTATGTGCAGGTGGGGTCTGTTACATATTTACAGTAAGTGTAATGATTAATTTGCCTCCCCCCATGCAGTCTTAAGCAGCCCTCCATCACCAGTCCACCATTACTCACACAGATTTCTCTGTCTGCTCGTGTCTCTTCTCTTCTATTTGTCCCCCGAGTTGTTATTTTTAATTTTACATTTCCTGTTTGTTTGTGTTTTAGTTCACTTTTTTGTCTGCTTTCCTTTTTTTTTTTTAAACTTTTCTCTCAACAAAGTTATATTTTCAGGTAAGTTTGACCTTTATTTGCACATTTCAGACCAAATCACATTAAAATACTGCTTTACGTCACTATTTTCATTTACATGACCCTGTTTTGAAAAGGTTTTATTTTGTGTTGTTTAAACATTAACATCTTGTTCACTTTATGACATTAAAGTTGGTTGAGAAGCAAAAAGTCGACAGTTTCAGCAGTTTTGCTTCTGAATTCAAAGTGAACTTAACGGCTTTGGAGGAAATTGGTCATTTAAATGAAAATGGTGTTAATATAAAAACACTTTAAGGTAGATTAATTTATTGTTTTAGCAACAAACATGATACTGTTTTACGAAATGATGACAAGTATTGGTGAATATTTTACATCGCTAGTTGTTTTCTATCCATATTTGTCGATTTTGACGATGTTTTAACTCTTAACGAAAAATCTGGCTACATAAATGTTGTCTAAATTAATCCAGATTATTTGTTGTTACTGCATAAGTAGGGACAACACATTTTCAGGGCTGACAAATCCAGCTTTTAAAAGCCATTTGCACTTAAGTTATCTTAAAATAAGAAAAAGAATATGGCCAAGTGGGCAAAGTCGAATAATACAATAGGGATGAAGGTCTTTTTAGTCCACATTTTAATTGCTTTATGGCTCTGCTTTCTTCTTCTTCTTCTTTTACAGAGGACAAAGTTAAGGGTCAAAGTTCACCGGAATGAGTCGGTGGAGATTCTGGGAGGACATGCATTGAAGAAATTGTCGAGTTTATGTGTCCAAAAGTCACTTCTGTGTCGAAGTGGAGAGCATAAAGTGGAAAAACTGATTCAGCTCTTGTTCACGTCCACTCAGTAAATTACTGTGATTTTTATTGGTGTCCTAGAGTCCACTGTAATCTTAGAAGCAGTAAAAACCTAGATTAGATTGCTGATGTTTCACTAATCCTTCATTTGGTGGGGCTGGTATCACACGAAGGCCTGGGATAAAAAATATGCAATAAAATGATGTAATTTCTTGTGTTGAGCAAGAAGTGAACAAAAGAGGGCAGCATTATATCATGTGGTTTAACCTTCCTGCTGCCCTTGGGTCAAAATAACCCTGTACAACACAGCAGGTGGGGTTTTAAGGTAAGTTTTAACCACTACAGGAACCACGTTTTTTTTAAAATAAATACTTTTTATCTCATGAAATAGTAGAAGTCAGATAAAAGCGGTTTCGATTGTTCATGTCAGCGGGTCTCACCAGCTGTAACAGCATCTCCATGTGGAAAAGCTCTGACCTCCAGTGGAGCTGCTGTTATCTGTGGAGGGACACCTCTCCTCATCACCTCTGCTCTTCTTTATTTTTAACCTTGGTATTATTTTTATGTTCATCCAGAAGTTGTTCAGCTGTAAAATAAAAGTCATCGTGTGAGTAAAATTTTGATGTTGATCTGTTTATTTATTTTTTATCATGATTGAAGACATAAGTCAAAGTTGAATGATGGATTATCTTTGCCACGGTGTGTTATGTGGAACAGAAACACGTGTTTTGGGTAATAGATATGCTCCTATACAAGTGAAACCAAAATTAAAGTTGAATTTAGGGGTTACTTCACCAACATGCAATGTGGGGATGCCCTTTAAAACAGAAACAAAAAGCACACAATTTCATGATCACATTAGGTATTTTACTTCTTCTCTCTTTTATAGGAAACCATACTATTTATAGGAATAATGGTTTTAAATTGTATTTCATACATCTGAAGTTACTTTCATGTACAAATATGAGACTTTTAGAGCCTTTACAATTACCATATACAGTATATATA